TTTTTCTAGGGGGTTCGTCCACTCCGACCCACGGTAGACTGGCAGTGCCAGAAACACCATAAACACCTTTGCATGTCTTGGAACCAATCACCTAGTTTGGCCAAGCGGACCATCTAGGCCTTTGAATTTGTGCTGCTTTCTGATGTATATCTTCGAGTCACTCATTCGTGGTGCAATTGCGCGATGAGGAACCAATAAAAACCAGCTTAGTCACTCTTTTCTTTTTGTTTCCGATTATTTGCACCATTCTATACTCTTAAATATTAAAGTTATGGACATTAGTATTGCCCTAGCCTCATAAAAAGACGTTTTGCGAACCTGATTGCGTTATTGCTGTTAAAGTACGTAACACTGCGATAAAAATAGGAGGTCAACTTATTGTCTGGACCATGGTAACGAGCGATATAATGCACTTTTAAAACTGACTTTTTGCATGCTGGAACCGCCTACTGACGTATGAGGTATTAGCAGAATGGACACGAAGAGGATTGTGGCTCATCACAAACTGCACTTGTGAGCGAAGATCGTGCAGTAACTCTATGTCGATTCATGGGGGCTCTGTTGGTATATATATATATATATATATATATATATATATATATATATATATATATATATATGCAACAGTCTATGAATAGACTTTGCACCATCGGAAACCATGGAACTCAAAACAAGGTACAGAAATAGTAAAAGAAAACACAACAAAACACAACAATGTCCACGGTTTCGTCAGAGGGTGAAATACTACCCGGTTGACCAAGCCGAAGTAGGGTGTTGACTTAGGGGACACCACCCCGAGCCTTTGGCTGAATAGCCTGTCCGCAAGGCAGCGGAGCGAATTCAGGGAATCGCGCCCATTGGGAGCCGGTGACTGATTGATCAGTTCATACACCTTTCGTTTGTTCCTTTGCCAAATAGGGGCCCAATGTTGGTAGGTACTGCTATACATTCAAGATGAGTGTGCAGTTCACCAACAATTAAGCCAAGAAATCGCCTTATCTACCGTGGGCGGGCGAATTTCAGTACTCTTGCGAAGTTATCATGCCTCCACATGTGTAAGAACTTGCGTCACTGCCTTAGTGGATCAAACTGAGGCACGCTAAACAACAAAAACTACGAATCCGTACGCTGCAGTCATTAAGCATGACTACCTCCATTAATGTGATGAGCTCAGTGCTTTGCAAACGGTGAGTCCAAACGGCCTGAGGCTTAGTGTGCAATGGCTTCTCTTTTAAACAGGCTTACAAATGAACTTAGCATACGCTGTATGTGGCTGTGGCTGTGGCACATAAATGCCTTCATTAGGAAATCTGGCAATCATTAGGCCTGCTTAAACACGCAGCAAGAGCTGATCCTGCGGACTTTAGCATGGTTGAGACGTTTCCCTCTTCGCTCACTTCACTAAGCTGCTGCAAACTTTAGCTTTCAAAGCAAAGTCGGTCGCCTAACTCAGGTAGAACTGCAGTACAATGTGAGAACCATACTGGAATCGGGTGCACTCCACCAATCTAACGCGCGGAAATAAACTAGATACACATATGTAAGCGTATAATGCCGCATATATTGTCATGATCAATAATGCTGCGTTGGCTGATGGAGTGACTACCTATGATATGGTTCACTATGCGTATAACTAAGAAAAGAAGTTGGTGTGTAGAAGCAAAGAAGTGCTACGACGCAATAGTTGAAAAATGGTAAGAAGGAGAAATTCGATGAGTGAAAGACTGCCTATGTGGAGGATATACACGCATATAGCCGAAGCTAACCTAATAGGCATAAATGGTGTTTCCAGTAACTAAACTGTAGTAATTGAAACAATTAGTTCGCGAAGAAAGTTTTAGAAGAAAAGTTAACACAAGTGTGCCGCACGATTTAATTCCGGAAAAATTTCAGTGGAGCTTCTGGACGGTATCGAACTGCGCGGAAAATTCATGGCCAGTATCGATATCATCTCACTATTTACCAATGTGCCAGTAAAAGAGATGATTCAGATTATCTGTAATCATGTGGTCGAGAACCAACTAGAAATAAGCATACCAGTCATGGAATTAGAACGACTTCTGTTATATACATCAAACGTCAAGTTCTATTTTCAAGAACAGGGCTATCGCCAAGTTGAAGGTGTTGCAATGGGCAATCCACTGGGACCGGTTTTAGAGGACATTTTCGTCGCCTATCTCGAGAATCAAGTTAGGGACGAGATCGATGAAACAGTGTTGTTCCGTAGATATGTGGACGAGATTTTGTTAATCTGCGACAGCGAGCATCATTTAGCCCAACTGGTTACTAAGTTTAATGGCTTACACCGAAAACTTAGAGTGACGACGGAGCGCGTACGGCCTGATACGCTGCCATTCATGGACATCCTGATAAAGCGTAGGAGTTCAGTAAGCAGATCAGTTTACCGCAAGCCGGGATCAGCTAGAAGTCGTTCAGAAATTCAATTACCTGGGAAGTTGTATCAGCGCCCATGGGATCGAAGACGAGATCACGAACCGTATAGCAAAAGCTCGAAGTGCTTTTGCTAACCTTCGCCACCTATGGCGGCGGTGCGATATCACTCTCGCCCTGAAGGGTAGAGGGTACAATGCAGCGGTACCTTCGACCTTACTGTACGGTTGCGAAATCTGGCCCCCAAGATCGGCGGACATGAAGAGGCTAGTTACGTTCGACCATCGGTACCTTCGCAGTTTAGCTCACACCTGGTGGGAACACCGCGTGAGTAAAGAGCGTGTTCGACGCCTTGTTTACGGCACAGGAAAAGGATCTGAACCGCTTAGCCCCGTTATTTCCCGCACCAGGCTCCGATGGCTCGGTCACGTTTTTACGGTCACGTGTTACGCATGCCAGCCCAACGACTCCCTCGACGTGTGTTGTTTGCTCCCCGGGGATGTGGGTGGAAGAAGAAGAGAGGTGGCCAAGCGATGACTTGGTCCAGAGGAACGAAGGCCCTCACTTCTGAGTTGGCCTCGGTTGGAGCGTCACGGCTCCCTGGTTGGGGTCCAAAAGACGGTGAACATGTGGCCGGATACACTTGCTGACATGGCAAGGAGCCGACCTCAGTGGCGTTCGTGCTGTGAGTTTCTTTGTTCCACCCCATCCCTTTTATACTCCCCCTCCATCTACGATCTCGTTTCCTAGGGTAAAACATAATATTTTTTTCTTTTTGCCTAATAGCTGGCTGGAAGCTTACCGGAACGATGCCTATTCGTTGCTGGTAGCTCAGCTGGCATGCAACTGTTGTGTCCATTTTCCCTTTGTGTATTGTATTATAAGCATGTATGTATGTATGTTTTTCCTGACCTCGTGCACTTAGCTAGGATTCGTTTGTAAACAACTTATTACATATGCTATTTAAGTAAGGTTTATATCACCGTTTCCTTATGCATTAATCGAGCTTTTCTCTTTTTCTTTCTCTCTCTCTCTCAAATGTTTGGCTGTTGTTTGATATCCCCGGTGTGGATGCGCTTGATGTGCATGTTGACAAGTTGCCTACCTGTCTATTACCCACTACCTCGTCCATACTGGCTGTAGGAGATAGTGAGTCGTTGCTGGAGGGGACAGGGTGCACGGTTCTTGTGGCCGTTTTAGGATCAAAGATTGGTTCCATGCAGTCAGTGTGGAGCGGTCTACGGTCCAGCCACTACCTTGTGTGCGCATGATTACCAAATACAGTGTGCTTGTGTTTGCCTGTGAAGGAGTGTGGGCCGGCTCCGTCGATTTAACTTGGTTCCCATCCGCATGCCTCCCGGTCATATTCCTTCGGGTTTACACTGGATATGGGGTGTGTGGTTGGAGCTGTGGGTGGTGCAGCGCAAGCCATCCATGGTCCCTCTGTAGGCGCAGGCGTCCTGTGGCTGGCCACAGTGACAAGCAAATCCGAAACCGGATGCCGCCAACCATTTCCTTTATGTATTGCGGCACAATAGCGGATGTGTTTTCCCACCTCTAGCTGACGTGTATATTGATGATGATGATGACTTTAACAGCATGTAATTGCCTGTGCACACTAAACAGTTAAATCAAGTTCCTTATGTCATTCAGCTGGCAGAGAGTTGGAACGTTATCACTGGATAGAGGTCCGGTTAGCTTTTTGACCTTGCCAGGCAAAATAATACAAGTCGTCTGTGACCAGGGCTTTTATTCTTACGGTTACTGCCAGAAAAACCATGTCTCGTTTTGCCAGTCATTTACTTTGTAATATGTATGCTGGGCTGGTATCACTTGTTGGAAAGGCACTTTCTTGCAATTGGAAGGAGCATTTGGGAGATTTTGAACCAAAATAAGTGGACCTAGAGCACCTTCTCTTGATGTTAGCTGATTACGAGTGCAACTGCACGTAAGTTTACAGCTACTTATTGTAAGTAAGTAGTTGGCCAAATCAGGAATGTAGCTAGCGCTGCTCAGGAGACTCAAACGCAGTCACCAACTGTAACGAAAGGACCTACATGTTATCTGAGCTTTCATATTCCTTATGGTTAAGTTGTCCACCTAGCCAAACTAGTTACTAAACTTAGTGCGATTTCCATCTTTCTGTAGGATATAGGCTGAAGGCATGTTAACAGTTAAAGTATAACGCTGATCTACATTTGTGTATGCATCTGAAGCGTATAACAAACTGAAAACGAGATAAATTGATTAGTTGCGGCGACATTTGAGTCGGCTGTGCTGGTAAAACTGGAGGCTGGTGAAAGTGCCTTGTGACCGTGCAAGCTACTTCGGGGCATCAAGATGGAATAGAACTGCATCCAGATTGTAACTGATCTTTAATTTATGGTTGTTTTGCAAGTTGTGGCAGATTCCGGCAAAATGAAAGAAACAGTTTTAAAGGACGCAGGGTATGTAACCCCAGCTTGAAATTAATCATGAAGTGCGCTCATTTATAGTGGGTTTTATGTCATATTTCCACTTCTTTATTTAAACGAAAAACGATAAATAGTTAACCGAAACGGGAAAAGCATTTAAACGATTGCAAATCAGGGGATGTTTTCTGGAAATACCTGGAATCTTGGCTGGTCCGTAGTAGTTGAATAACAGTTTCCACCTCCCGTCTCCCCACATGCTTTTGCAGTAACGTTCGGTTGTTGTGAAGAAGAGCGGCCATTGTGTCTTCAGCTAACACACCGAACCCAATATGGCACTGCATCATATTAAGTTCTTGAGCGATATATTCCTTTTAGAATAAAAAGGGGTCAAAACTACGATTGATTAACCAAAAGAATGCATGATTTTCAACCGAAAATAATTCGGTAGTTAGTATGGAATACGAACCCACTGTATCTGCAATTTTATTCTCATAGTCCTTTAAAAAACAAGACAAAAATCTTTCCTCGCGCCATGTTGTAAACCTTACTATTGTATACATTTGTCGATATGTTGACCGATTTCAGATTCTTCCTGGGATTCAATACTATTTTGTCTAAATATTTTTTAGAAAATGCCAGAGCAGAATGAAACTGGAAACTTTGACACACAGCGCGAGCCAGCAAGGAGGACAAAACGTTCCACAAAAAGTATCTCTGCGTGTTCATTCTAACAGACGGACACACATCTACTCTATGTTCGAATTGGCTCTGTTGCCCATAGGCTGCAAACTCTCACAAACGATGTCCAACCAGTACTAGAGACTCAAATGATTTACTTGTGTTATGTCTTACGAGCACTAAAGTCCCTGTGTGCGATCGCGTAAACGGTGATTTTAAGTAGAAGATGCAAGATAGGGGGAAAGTGAGTAACTGCCAGTGACTAGTGACGTTGCAATCTCACGGTATTTCAAGCGCCTGGGACAAATGATGTAAATTTTCAGGCCCGCTATGACCACGCCGTCGAGTATTTGCGGAGTCTGAATGACAGGCTCATCGAGGTGGGTGAACGTCAGCATCGTCATCATTATGTATTCACTGAAGGTGAGAAATACGCTTCAGCTATTTTACCCCAATAGAAAAGATAATTAAAAAAGCAAGACACTAAACGTTATGGAATACACACTAATATAACACATTATTTGGTAGCACATTGTATTTCAAGACACAGATTGCGGTTGGAGGAAGAAGTAAGCGGGACAAAGAAACTCACAACAAGATAAGCGAACAATGAAGTAAGATGCTGGAGGGTCAAGAATTGCGGACAGAAAACAGTGGGATAAAAGTGAAGTTGGGGATGAAAAATGAAGCTGGAAACGCGCATGAGGGTGATTAAAATGACGGGAAGGTCTGAGGAGTAGTATCCAAAACCTATTCAGCCTACTCGATGAAGCAAATAAGATGTTGTTGATTGTCCTCTACTACGGCCAGAGCATCATGAGATTGTTTGAAAGAAAATTAACTGTGCTGTATTGCGTGGGCAGGATAGTGTCAGGTAGCCCAGACTTACACAGCAGAAGGATTAGGATTATTGACCAAAGCCTTTGGCTCAATAACCTGACCGCAAGACAGCGGGGTTTTGACACTGGGTCACAGACAGTCCGTTTTATGGAGTAAGGAGCCACCCTCACTCCAACCCCCAACCTGGAGGGGGACGCACAAAACAGTACGGTTGGGGACTATTTTATCAGTTCCTTCGTGACGAGTATATATATTCGCAATCTGATTACAGATAATGTGCCATCAGAACCATTGCAAAATGAAGGGGAAAAGAAACAATAACATAAAGGAAACTATATTTTTGGTTTTACACACGCCGCTTTTGGATATTTTGTGTTTTGGAGTTTTATGTTCGATGAGACATTAACTAATGGATAACATGATTGAATAGTACTCTCTCTACTGATGTCGGTTGCGCGTCATAGTTCACAACGTTTCGAACCACTGGCAGTCCATCCTGGAAGGCGGACCCATCCGACGGATGCCAAGCTTGTTGCATTCTTCATGCTCCTTCTGCACGTCATTGGTAGTCTACCGCAGCACCTTTGCCAATCGCTTCCAGGTAGCGCAAATTCCGCTCGACGGGGAAGGTGATAGACCGGCATACGCAATGCGTGGCCGAGGCACCGCATGTGGTGTCGGAGAGTAACCGTTTGCAATCACGGGATGTTTGATCTAACCACCCGCTCTAGGACTTCTGCGTTACTCACGTGCTGCTGCTACCACACGCGAGCAATCATACGCAGACAATGATTGTCGAAGGCTGACAATCGTTTTATGTCTTCCGAGCGAGTCGGCCAGGTCTCAAAACTGTACGAAAGGACCGCACGGACAGAGGCAACGTATACTTTGCCGTTGAGTTTGAGACTGACGTCGCGACGGCGCCATGAGTGTCCGAGTCTGATGAATGCAAGGCGGGCCTCTGTGATCCGTTGTGAAACCTCATCACCAACAGAGCCGCCAGTTGTGATGCTACTCCCTAGATAACTAAAGCAGTGGACTTGTTCCAGGACATTACCAGTATTGGTGAGGGCAGGCACAGGCATCTGTCAGTCCTGGAGTAGTACTTTACATTTGTCTGGCGTGAACCAGACCGTACTTAGATGCCTCTATCGCTAAGCCGTTCAGAGCGCTCTGGAAGGCTTGTAGATCGTCTCCGAGCAAAACGATATAATCGACGTAGTCCAAGTCCGCGAGTCTGTTACCTGGGAGAAGCTCAATACCGCAGATTTGAGGGCCTTCCAATGCTCGTTGGACGAGATCTTCAATGTCAAAGTTGAAGAGGAAAGGTGAGACGGGGCGACCTTGGCGCACGCCGCTGGTGACAACAAACGAAGTGGAAAGCGTGCCATAAGCCCTAACTTTGCTCGACGTTTGACGGTAGAGATTCTTCAAGATGGTTACAAACCTGTCGGGCACACCTCTACTTAAGTCATGTAAGATGCCCATATATCGTCTCTCAAAGGACATTGGTGCGCACCGTGACTGACAACGTATACAATATCGGGAGTGACGACACCATCGAAGTGGGACTTAAGCGAAGCAAAGGAACACTTCGCGAGGATGGATATCCGGAGCGTTTCATCGACACCTACATGAAGTAAAGGAGTCCAAAAGTACGAAGGCAGACGGTTGAAAAGAAGCAACTGTTTCTAACTCTAACCTTCAAAGGAAACAATGTCTCGGGCATCTGCACAGGTAGACTGATACAAAGCTGCAAAAACACTTTTAATGCACCCGACACACAAGCAAACCGCTAATTTTTCCGAGATTCAAAGACCGAGTGCCCGATCATCTCCAATCGATGGTAATTTACGGGTTCACCTGTTCCTGTGGGTACAGGTACGTGGGACGTACGACGAGACACTTAGGTCAGAGAATCAAGGACCATCTCCAAAGTCGGCTCAGCAATCACAAAAATGCACTATCTCGCAGCTCAATAGCAGATCCGCTTCTCAACATCGGTCATTGTGTAAACAAACTAATGGATTTCAAGATCACCTAAAAAGTACCAAGAACCTATAGCTATGGAGGGAAAACGAGGTTGCTTGCTACCGCGGAGGTGGTATGCATCTTTGTGCGAAAAAATGATGCCGTTGTTGAAACTGCCATGGCCAGTCACCGGATGTGGAGGATGCGGACATAGCCATCAACAGCACGAGGCTTCAATCACATGATCAGCCATTCGGTGCTTTGATCTCTTTAAATGAGCAATCAAGTATTTCTTTTTTCTTCTTTACTAACGAATGCAACCTAACAGTGTTTCCCCGTTTATTACTGTATGCGCCTGAATAAGAATTGGAAACACTGGTTTGCGTATAGCTCACCGTTTTCTGCTATTCTCTCTGAGAAACACCTTTAATTAGTAGACAGTTCCACAAAGCAGGTTTATCTACTGAGTCAAAAGCCACCCGGATGATCAAAAACACTAAGATTGTTGGCCGTCGGTGGACGTGAAAGAGTTCAAGCAATTGTCGGAGTGTGAAGATGTGGTCAATACAACCACGACCTGGACATTAAAGTGGTACGATGGTTTGTGTGCCTCAGCGATCCATGCAGCTATGCTGTGCGGTGTTTTCGCAACTTTAGAGCCATTTACAGCAGATTGCTAAATGATTAGAGGTCTAAAAACCTCAGTCCCCCGGCCCTCCAGGTTGGGAATTAGAATGAAAATGGCTCCTTACTCCATAAAACGGACTGTCTGTGGCCCAATACCAAAATCTCGCTGCCTTGCGGTCAGGTTTTTGAACCAAACGCTTTGGTTGACAATCCTAATAGTTCTCTTGTCTAGGTCTGGGTAACTTGACAGTATTAGGCTCACGCAATACAACGGGCCTTTCTTCAAACAATTTGTTGATACGATGGCCGTCGCAGAGGATAACAACCGGCGCCCTATCTTCTATCGAGCAGAGTGGATGGGGGGTTGGATTTTAATGCTCAGGCCTACTTGTTTTCGTATCACTGCTCTTGCGATTTTTCATTCTTATCGTCCTGTTCCAAATACAGTTGTTTACTCTTGTTTTCAACCTTCCCGTAATTATTTGCAATGCTACATCTTGGTGCAGTAATCGGTTATCTTCTAGTTTCGACTCACATGTAATCGCAGGGCATCACTCCGTTTCAGCCGACAAGTCCATGTCCAGTCAAACGGACCACGTCACTTCATCTGCTTCTATTTGGAATCCACGGTCCTCCCACAGATTGGCATGCCTAAATATGCGCACCTTTTGCAAATTGGCCAACAGGCAACACTTGCCCGAACACTGGAGACCGCAGCAAACGATATCTGTTTTTGATCAGAAATGCGTCTGCATGATCCCAAACGTGCGACCCCTGTGGCATTCTCTCATTTCGATTGTCCGGAGATGACACGGCTTCAAATGCACATCGTCGGTGTGACAAATACTTATTTTCGGGCTGAATCTACCCTGATCGACTGGATCTCTATGAACAGCCGGATGTGTGTCATCAGATTGGGTGACTCGTCCAGAGCCTCGAAGTCGCGCGGAAACAAACGATGACTGTTTGTCAGTGCGGCATGTGCGGCCACAAATTGTAGCGCTGACTCGGTGAAAGAGGAATTCTATCACCAACTGAACGCAGGCCTCTGTTGCAAAAAAGGTACAGATATTGTGGTGCTGGCTGGTGATTTGAAGTCCTAAGTTGGAAAACTGTGCACTGATGAGCTTAATCTGGGTGGTCAACACAGTGTAGGCTCCTGTAATGATAACGGTGAGCGTTTGCTATACTTGTGTGAAGACGCTCGACACTTTCCCGCGAGCAGTAACTTCCGACACAGAACCCGGAGAAG